ATTCTTCCTCACCAGGCTACGTTGCATTTACACTCTTCCTCAGCAAGCTACGTGACACGTACACTCTTCCTCACCAAGCTACATGACACTTGCACTATTTCTCACCAAGCTGCGTGACATTTACACACTTTCTTACCAAGCTACGTGACACTTACACTTTCTTCCTCACTTTCTCCCTTGCCTCTTTTTTCACACATACACGCAAAAAAGTTACATTTCTTTTCCTCTTAACAAACAACTACAAACAAGTAACTTTTACACTCATACACGCTGAGATAAATTTAATTGTAAAAACACGAAAATAAAAATATTTTATATTTAAAAACCCTTTTCGCCTTTTTCTTTGTTATAGGTTGATTCAAATCCGCAACATATTAACAAGGCATGTTACAAAAGGATAAAGAAAGAAACGAAGTTGAAGTTATAAACTGTTAAATGTCTCTCGAGAAACGTCTGCCTCCGTTTCAAAAGTCAAAAGGAAGAGCCTTTGATTACCGTCGAGAGTGGGCGGTAATGAGTGTGATGGTTCACAAAGTTGTAATCTACATATAATTGCCAAAGTAATAAATTCGACCTTCACTCAGCTCCCAATATTATGGCTTTGTGTCAGACTAAATTTCTCTCTTGTAGTTCTCTTCTACCGATAAAATCAACACATTGCTTCTATAAATATCAATTCATAGAAACATTCCTCTCCTATTATTGGTCCAATTAAGAAAGTACGCCTAGGGATTTATTTCTAAGTGTCCAATGAATCAATGTAATTCTGTAGTCAATATAAGTTCCTAAATGTCACCAATTTTCTTTATTTGTATTGTTTCATTTTCTTCCCTCCTTCCTTTTTCGTCTGTTTTTTTATCTTCCTGGTATATTTAATGAAAATAATCTCGCCTAATTTCGCAAAGTCTTTAGAAAATATATTTCCAAAACTACTCCTTCGCTAAATACGACTCTAACCGTTATTTTTCTACTTCTAAAAAGAAAAAAAAATATCGGTTTCACTCCGTCTTAAATCTATTCCCTTAAATCAGCTTCAGTGTCGAGTTTGAATTACAGAATTTTCCGCCCTATACTTGCGAAAACAAAAGGAAATGGATAACTTATTTTGTCTGATTCTTTTTTTATTTATTACAGAATAATAGGCGTTGTCCAGATGGTGAACAAACTGAATGGCCTATTCACCAAAGCAGACGAAGAAGCCTTCCAGGCTTTTGCCGTCTATTGTGGCTTGGCTCTCTATTATGCAAAGGTGACTCTTTCTTTCTTATTGATTTTTACCAAATAAATTTGTCAATCACTACAAAATTACCCACGAGAATTACAAGTGAAAATAAATGCTTTTGAAATCTTATCTACCTCATTTTTATTTTCTATCAGATTTTTCAATTTCCTCCGATGTTTTCCATTTTTAACGGACATTACTTAAATTACTTGTTTCTTGCACCTTTAAAGGAAACCATTCAAATTTATTTTCCTCTGTTAATAGATACTTAGTGCAAAATTCCAACTTAATCTATCCACTGTTTGTTTCTTTGTTGATGCCTGCATCAATTTACAGCAATACTTCAAGAGTCTAAACATTAAATTTAAATCTTGCGATTTAAAATTAAATCCCAAGATCGTACTTTAATACTTTTGTATATATATATATATGTATATATATATATGTGTGTGTGTCTGTGGCGGAATATGCGTGTATAAACGAAGAATTAAGCTAATCTTCAAATACGGACCTACAAATTTAAATAATTTTTATTTATTGAAGTATTATTTTTCTTTTAAATTGAAAGAAATGAATTACAAAGATTCTTTGTGAACAACTTCACACAAAATATTTTGTGTATTTTTTACAGTACAACTGAATGAATTGCGTTAGTATAGGATAAACAGAAAATGCGTTTATATGTGTGCATATCTATGTGACACAGGCTTACATTGTATTCATCGAGTGTATGAAATTGCAGCAGTAAATGGAATGAAATGAAGGCAGAAAGTTAGTTGTTACTGTCGCCGCATGTAAACAAATTAACGGAATGTCGTCTCTATCGCTAAACATAATTTTTGTAATATTGTATACTCGAAAAAATATGTGAAAGTTGTGAGTAACTAAGTATGATAATTTCAGTTTCGTTTGTGTAACAAACGATCGAAGAAACACTTTGGTTAAAGGTTCGCTGAAAGACTAGTTAGCGAACAAGAATTGATTATATTTATAATAAAAATGGTAGACTCCGGGTGAATCTAAAATTTAGATTTATTGGTTATTGGCTAATATATGTTTTCCACATTTTTAAATATTCTTTTTAAGGAAGAAAAATAATGTTGAACATATTCTGACGCTGAGCCTCCAAAACTTCATTTTAAGATATTTTACCGTCTGCCAATTCAAAGAATACCGTGCGAGATGTCGCTGGTTGCTTAATATATATGAATACAAAAATTCAAATATCTGGAGCCTGTCAATGTACAAAAATTGAGTTACTTTTTGTGTGATGAGTTTTCAGTGACTGAACTTAAATCTATTAGCAGTTTTCTACAATTTTGAAATGGGTTTTTACAAACACACATACACACACACACACACACACACACACACACATATATATATATATATATATATATATATATATATATGCTCTGTTAGCATGGTCTCAGACGTCCAAATTGGGAGCTACAAATTTGGACATCTGAGACCATGGGAAAAAGGGATACAGGCTTGGTTCCTACCGAGGGGGACATTTTCTTTAATAGGACTTTTCGATCTAGGACGGTTGTTATTAATTTCACAATTTAAAAAAAATAAATAAATAAAAGCAATACCCATGGGAATTTCACAGTTTTTTTATTTTCATTTCCTGGTGAATCTTAATTCATAAGTTAATGATTGAATAAGTACCATGTGAGTTCGACAATTATAAATATCTATGGAAATTCCCCTGTTGTCTCGATAAATATTTGATCTTAACAACTTTGATAGAATATT